TTGATAAGTATATGAATGAAAAGGGCTGGTTTTGAATTTTTTTTTATTATTATTTTTTAATCATTTTAATTTAGTTTTGAGGATAGAACAGCCGAGATGGACCAATAGGTCCCATCTTGTCCCAAAATATTATGTTATGTTAAACAGAAATAAAAGTAATTAGCATATAAAACAAATTATTTATTTCAAACAATAAATTATTAAATAGAAGATGCAGCTCCTGAAGTTGTTACATAATAATTACATAATTCTGAAAACAATGCACAATAATTTCAAAAAATGAAATTTTACTTTTTCACATAATTATTCTTTCCCACCATTTTATATCAAGAACAGATTTATAAATATTACTGATTAAGTACTTAATCAAATTGTTAACATAATTAGTGAGAAACAAAGGTCCCAAAACAAACCTTTTAGGAACCTCACTAATAACATTCTTCTAACTGGAGAAGTTATTCATTTATTTTCTACCACCAAGAATCTTACTATATTATTTAAAAATTAACCTTTAATGTGACTCTTCACAAAAACTACTTGGAAAGTTAATATATAAAACATACACAATGATGCCTTTACATAATTTCTCTGGTCAGTTCTTTTCTTAGGCAAAAATGCAGAATTACTCAATATGATGTAATATATGAACATCGATGATAGTGAATGATATGTAAAAGAGTCAGCAATTTGAGAGTTAATTGCAATTTGGGTGTTTATATATTTTAAACATTTGGTTCTGGTGTAAAGACAAATCTGTCTTCAACACACTGTAATGTATATTTAAATGCAAAAGCTGAGCAGGTTGTCCTCCTCACATTCAGAACCATATCAACATGTATTCAAGTTTGATAATTCGTAATACTTTATACATAAATCCATAACAGAAGGAAATAATTACATAGAAAAATTAACAAAATGCTTAAACTATATACCAATATACAAATATTAAAAAGCATGGATGGTTGTCATATTAAATTAGATAATTATAAACTGGTAGAATATCCCAAAGCATGGTGAACTTTTAACATTAATAACTTTATCGATTCTGAGGTGTTTTGTTTTTATTATTTTGCCATTTTCAGTACTGATAGAGGCTTCATGTGTCCAAGTCCACAGTCTGAAGACAGAAGCATATTTTTACTATATTCAACTAAGAATTATACACTTGAAATATAATTATTATCAGCTTAATGCAAGTTTTGAAAATTCTTTTATTGTTATTACCTGAGCAAGGCCTGGGTTCCTGGGTATTCTTTCCAGTGAATACTCAGTTCCAGAATTTCTTCCTGTGCCTCAAACTCGAGTAAGCTAGTTGCAAGTTCACTAAAGCTTCAGTATCAATGCAAGGTTTGTTTCAACCTCATCTTTATTATACCAGCCAGAGACCCATGCTTAAAACTGCTTTGTTGTCAAATTTTCTTTGAATTATCAAACTAATAATTGATACACATGTAGTAAATAAGACTCAAGTTGGGTTGGGTAATTTAAAACCCAAAGGGTTTTTGAATATTTGTGCCAACCTATATGTATTATTTCACTTTACTAAAAAGGTGAGGGTTTTATATCCATAATGTGGACAGGACTTTACAAAACAACAATCTTTATGTATACCTACCTACTCACCTCTATTCTGACAGAAATAGGTAGTTCTAAACTTTGTTCCAACTCGTATATCTTCTTTTCCTGATCTGCTAGTCTGGCTGTTAGAAGTACCTGAAAATTTGACTATAATATTTTAAAATTACTGAATTCTGTGCCATTTAGTTACAATTTTCTAACTGATCTGCATAAAATAATATAATTATCATTTCTTAACATAATTTTAGGTTAATAAATCAAACCTATTTCTGACTACAATACCATCCATGTATACATTTTCATACATTCATTTTATGTTTCTCCTTAAGCAATAACAAGAATGCTTTTAGTATAGTGGTAATCAACTGCCTCAGAGCAAACAAAAAAAAGCATAATGATTTAGAAAAATCTTATTTGACCAAATTCTGCATCTACCTATCACACAAAAAAATTTAACACTGATAATAAGAAACATGCCCCAAAAGCTAAATCATAGACAAATTGACAATTATATGTCACTTTTCACTGGTGAAATTTAATGTGTTGGTGGATTTTGTGAACTTTTTTTATAAAACAATAATCTACCTCACAACTATAACTAATGCCACGTACCCTACTTTTAAGTATGACAACCTAATAACGTGTACACCATTCAAAAGAACTTAAGACATTGAAAAAATTGCATCATTGTTTCAGTTTTTACAGAATAGAAATTCCATATCATTAAAAAGCAAACTGTGAATTTTTATTACCCAAACAAAATTGTCCTTCCAACACTCCCATCTCTATTAAAACTGTTAGTGCAGCTTTTCAAATATCAAAACCTTATACATAAATAAATAGAACAAAGGGAGATCATGATCTCACACATAATATATATGCATTTCCAGACTCTATATCATTAGAAGCATTTCTCTGCATGTAATTAACACTTTAAAACTACTGTCCACCCAACAATAAATCTTATAAATTAAAAACAAGCAAAATGGGTTTTAAACCATGTATTCCAAAGTGAAAGTGGCAATATCATAGTCACACTAACAATTCTTTCTGGTCTAACTAACAAGAGATGATAACAATTAACAGTACAAGCTTTCTTTCCAAAAAACAGTTTATTTAATACGTTTTAAATAAACACTGCTTGACTACCTTAGCCCTGTTTGCTGCAGAAAGGTTTTTCAGAATGTCTACATGTTGAGCCTGTTGCTGACTGAACAATTCATCTTGCTTTTCAATTTCTTCCTGAAAATTACAAACCCACCATATAGTATATGTATACTACTACAACTAGATTTGGTCAAAGAATACTCAATATTTCTAAGTACAACTGATGTTCTTTTGTATCTAATTGCTAATTTATTTGGCCTTATCTTTCTGCTCATATAAAATGAAAGACATGACCAACAGAAACTTTACAATTTAACATCATTAAACTGAATAGTTAATATATATTTTAAAAGGTAGCATAATCATAATACTATAGATTTTAGATTGAAGAAACGTTTGAAACTGCAAAACTCAGCCACTCTTCAAAAAAATCTTCCATTATTCGTGTTAATACAACATTGACAATAAAACACGACCAGGCCCGGCATGGCCAGGTGGTTAAGGCACTCGACTCGCAATCTGAGGGTCACGGGTTCGAATCCCCGTCACATCAAACATGCTCGCCATTTCAGCCGTGGGGGCGTGATAATGTGACGGTCAATTCCACTATTCGTTGGTAAAAGAGTAGCCCAAGAGTTGGCGGTGGGTGGTGAT